GTATAGGTAATCATGTAGGCCCCTACATTAGACATGCTCAGGCAGAAGAGTGGGGAGGAGCCTTCACACCGAAATCGTAGATGAGGTTGAAACTCAGGTCCAGAATCTGCAGCCGCCTTTGTGATTCCAGCACTGTGGCCAAGGCCTGGCACCCGTGGCATGCTACATCACGCCGTGGGATCTGCCGGGGGCTTTCTGAAATCGTGGTGTACCTGCACCGTGCAAAGCAGAACCCCTTTTGTCGCTGCCTGCAAATGGTTCCCCACATCCACGCAATACACCTCGCACCACACCTTCACGAGGCAGCTCAGAGCACGAAGGCGTAGCTTCATGTGGGAGTTTCCGTAAATAGGGGACCCTAATATAGTACCCTAAATAGTAGGATCCTTATTATAAGGACCCCCAAATAAGGTACCCCTAATTTTCTGAAACTCCCATGTGGCTCAGCGTTCAACATCAAACACTGTGTGCCGAGATACGCATGCATCCTTTCAAGGCGCTGGCTTCAGAAGTTCAACACATAGTTAGACGCTTACGGAAACTTGAAAATTCGGAAACCATGCTTCGGAAAACAAGCTGATTCAAAAACCGCAAAGTGTTCGCAACCCCCCTAACCCCATCCCATGCCCTCCGGATACCTCCCGGGATTAGCTTCCGAATTAGTTGTGGGCTTGTTTCCGCTGGGTTAGTTTCTGAAGCGAGGGTCACAGCTTCTGAAGCGGGGTAGTGAAACGCCAGTTTCTGCATCGGCTAGAAGTCGAAGCTCACAGCCACAACCCCTGAGCGACTAACAACAATACTTGTGCACACATGTTGCTGCGCTGCGCCTGACTCGTCGACACCCCAACGGAGCCCTCCACGACTGATGCGTCCAAAACCAAGATCTCGGCACTCTTGGAGAAAACCTGAGATGCAGGGTTTCATGGAACATGCGGCAAAAACACCACAATGTGTGCATGATCATGTGCACAATCTCTCGCCTGGGCTGCTACACGGCCAACACCTTGCGGGTTCTGGGACAGGCAGAGCTTCAGCTTCCCAGTTTCCTGCACCAGATGGTAGTACTATCAATACTATAAAAATAGTACTAATATCATACTACTACTATAGCCTGTAAAAACAATAATATCCTACTACTACTACTACTACTAC